GCACAGCAATAATGTGATGCTCTGCAAGACTAACCCACATGGGAAGATTCCAAGTTCATGTCCAGAGACAGACTTCCCTGAGCACACCAGGTGCATGTGTGCTCCCCAGGGCTGGTTTTAGTTATGGGTGGATTGTAACATCAATGACTTGTTGGTGGTGGGCCAGCTGGTGGCAGGATGGTTAGGCAGCTGGATTCTACATAGCCAATTGGGTGGTTCAAGTCTCAGACCTGGCAGCTTGAAAAACACCTGGCACATGTGTGTGAATACTCAAAATCCCAAGAGGAAACTAGAGAAGGAATTGTGGTGTGGTCATCTTTCCTGGTGTGTGTTTTCTCACTTTCTCTTGTGAGCACATGTATCCTATAGCAAAAACTAAAAAAAAAAGAGAGAGAGAGAGAGAGACCCTGTTGGTGGTATGCTCTGTGTGTGTGTGTGTGTTTCTCTCTCTCTCTCTGACTCTCGCTCTCTCATGGAAGAGAGAAATAAGTCAACTTTAGATGAAATCATTAAGAAAGGGAAATTGTAATAGTGATATCCTTTTCAGATAGAATTATAAAGTAGTCACACACCAAAGGTAAATATCTGTAATGTTATCTAGAAGAATCTAATTAATGGAACAAGACCTAGAGTTATCTGGGCACTCAAAGGGAAAATCACAAAGGCTGTTTAGAAAGGAAAAGGGCATGGAAAAAGGGAAACCTGGACTGTGTCCACTCCCTTATCAGAAGATCTGGAGCAGCCCAGTCCTACATGACTTTCTCAGTCAGGAGACTAGCCCACATCTGAGCTGTCTCTGATTCAAATGGGAGTATCGTGAAGGTGAAAGAATAACATAAGAAAAAAATTGTTAAAACCCGTGTGTGTGTGTGGATGGTTCTGAGAGCAAAATACTACCTAGGTTATTGAAGAATGGTGAATACTTCTACAGGAAATAAAGTTTAGAGCTAGAGTATATCTAGAGATAGAGAGAATGTTGTGTGCGAGTGGTTTGCCACTGGTACCCGATTAGGAAGATGAAGTTGTGATTCCTAAACCCTATGCCGAAGTACCTTCAGGCACTGTACCAAACTCACAGAGGTTCTGAGGGAGATGCAGAGAGGGAGGCAAGAGGATACCACAGACCTGAACCTTCTGGGGAATCTTGAGGGAGTATGGTGCTGCTTATTTGTGTGGGGACTGGAATCAAACCAAAATAAAAGTCAGACTGAGTGGGCAGAAAGGTGGTGAGCACTCGGGTTCCCTAGTCGCATTGATTAGATGTCAATGTTGCTAAGGTTGAAGATAACAAGTGGATGAAAAGCATAAAATGTGAGCAGATGCTGGAATAATAAGAAGGGAAGAAAATACCTGGAGTGAAGTGATGGATAAAGATGAGAACATAGAATCAGAATGATGGTCACTGAATTCAAAATAGTGCTAGTAGGACCAGCAGATGGCATAGTGGTTACATTGCTGGACTCCCACATCTTCGACTGCGCTTTGAAAAGTCCTGGGCCCTGTGGCTTAAAACTCATGCTGGGCACGTGCTCATGCATACCCAAATCTCAAGAAGAGAATGGAGGAGGAGGGATTGTGGCATGGCCATCCCTCCTTGGGGGTGATTTCTTGGTTTCTGTCTCTTTGTCTCTGTGTCTCTCTAGCAAGCACATGTACCCAATAACAAAAATCTCTCAAAAATAAATAAATAAATAAATAAATAAATTGAGTGCTAGGAGGGTCCACTGAGACCCTCTTCTCCTCCAAGTCTGGCCAAACATGCAGGTATCCAAGTCACATGAGGAGATTTTGAAAATATTGAAATGCTGATTCTTGGACCCTACCTCTGGACTTTTGCAGTCCATAGGCCTACAAATCAGTCCTTAAATCTATAGATAGATAGATAGATAGATAGATAGACAGATAGATATTTTTGTTGTTGTTATTTTGGGGGATTTTTTGAGATAGGGTCTCACTATTTTGCCTAGTTTAGCCTTGAACACACAATTTTTCTGCCTCAGTCTCCCAAGTAGCTGAGATTATAGGCATATACCAGGGCACCAGGCTGAAATCTGTGTTTCTAAGAAGTTGCCCCAGATGATCCTGATATTGCAGCCAAGGTGGGGAATTCTAGGATAAATTTGTGTTAACTGCTTGGGGTGAATGGAAAAGGAAAAAGATATCCTGGGGAAGGGAAGGTGCTGGAGTGAGGACACTTTCAGCCAGAGTTGAGGCATGTGGGAGTCCCCATGGAAATGACCCAAGTCTTTGCACACCAGAATTTGACAACTAGACAGTGTGATAAATGGCACTTCTTCAAAGCTATAATATTTCATGATTTATTTCATTGTGACAGTCATGATCAGGCAATCTCTTTTGAATGATCAAATAGGCTTTCTGTTGGCTCAAGCCCCAGTTAATATTTGTTCAGATTTAATCCACTTCACAGATGAATGCATCAAATTTCATGTTAATTTTAAATGAATATGGATTCCTAGTGTAATGCTCTAAGAGCATCTCTTTCCTGACTCCTTTTATCCTCCTAAATAAGAAGACTATTTTTTAAAAAGTAATTTTTCTTTCATTGAGACCAGACAGTGGTACAGCCATAAAATGTATTTCCTGAGGCTGTGCATACCGGAAGGTTCCAGGTTTGCATCTGGAAAATTCTCTGAGAATGCCAGGTACATGAAATATATGATCCAGGATTGGTTCAAGTGAGGGGGTAGAGGCTGAATTGTAGCATCAAAACCCTGGTGGAGATGTTGTCTCTCTTTCTCTAATGGAAGGAATGAATAAACGGATTCAAATAAATAATGCAGGCCAGTCCATGGCCTGGTTGTAAAAGTAGATAGATCCCATATGGCTGAAGCACAGTTCAATTCCCAGACCTGGCACCTTGAAAGACATTCCAGATGCATGTACATGTATGCCCAAAATCTTGACAGGAAAGAGAAATGGAGAAGGACCACACATAACCATCTCCCATAGGTGGTGCTTTCTCTTTCTCTCTCTCTCTGTTTCTTTCCAGCAAGCAGCACCCTCTGGCAAATTATAAATAAGTAAATACATAAAGCAAAGGTAGCATGGGATAGTGGTGAAGGTCCTAAGTTATGGAGTCTGAATTTTCTAGGTTTGTGCCCAGATTTGACAACTCTTTAGCCTTGAGCCTGATGGGTAAATGTGTTCATATATATAATGAAGATAATGGTACTAACCTTCTATGGCAATTCTCAGAATTAAATAAATTAATATACACAAAGCTCTTCAAACCATGTCCACCACATATGAATTATTGATAACTGTATGCTAGAATATGATTATATTGCCTTGTCACCGTTAGAGTTACTCCTTATATAAGGGGGGGGGGTGTCTTTGAAAAGTTCATGGAAAATACATATTCTGAAAAAAGCTATGTACAATTTTTTGCACCAAAGTGAATTTATATTTTATTTCCTTTTTTTTTTTTTTTACAAACATTTTGAAGCCACTTTTATAAGACTCACCTGGTATTATATATTTTTGAAAAGAGAATCTCCATCGGTTAGAAATAGCTGTGAGCCAGGGACCAGCAGTTAGTGTAATGGCTATGTTGCTGGACTCCCACGTAGGCGACCACGGTTGGAGTCCCGGACCTGGTGGCTTAAACTCACGCCGGGCATGTGTGCATGCATGCCCAAGATCCCTAGAGGACAATGGAGGAGAAGGGATTGCGATGTGGCCATTCCCCCCAGGGGGTGCTTTCTCTCTTTCTGTCTCTCTGTCTCTCTCTGTCTGTCTGGCGAGAGCACGCACCCTATAGCAAAAACCTCTCAAAAAAAAAAAAATGAAAATAGCTGTGAGCCTCAAAGGAAGTCCACAGCATCCATCTCATACTCCTTTAAGAAGGGTTGAATCTAGTTGCTATAGCAGCCTGAGCAATTGTAGTATGTCCTTCAAGTGGAATAAAGAAAGAAAAGAGATGGACAGACCTTTGTGTAATTGACAAGCACTTCTTGGGCATCTGTTGAATGTTAGGAATTGTGCAGAGTGTCAAGGATATGGAAATGAGGATGCTGCCCTCTCTAAGTTTGGCTTGATAAGACAATACAATAAGTGTGTTCACAGTGATGTATTCGAAGGTCAAGTGCAGCATAGAGGAGAATTTGTGATGGTCCTGTGTCATTTGGAAGTTATCCACACAAGGACAACAAACATTGATTTTTAAGAGAGGAAACTCATGTCATCCTGGAAGCTTTTCAACAATGAATAAAGGAGCTGGAGACCAAGAATTATAACTTACTCTTAGTTATCACTTACCTTTGAATCATACACTTTAGTTTAAGCTTCTCAGTTTTTCCAAGAGATAAAGCCAGTGATAATTCCATTTACAACAAAGAAAACTTAGGGTCAGAAAATGTAGTCCCTTGCCCCACCTCAATTTCTAAGAAGTCATAGAGTACAGATTGGAACCTTGGGCCCACACTCTTAGTTGTCTTTGTACTGACCCAAGATTCAGTAACTGGCACAAAAATCAAAATAATTATGTTTAGTTAGAAATAGATAATAGGAAGAATTTCATATTGAAACCCATAGGCTAAGAGAGTATGATGGTTTTAAGTTATGTCTTCATGCTAATGTGAAATATTTGGCACTTTTAATTATTGTTAACCATCCACCCCAGATTTTCCTTTTGTTAAAATTTATTTATTTCTTCCATGAGTGCATGGGAGAGGGATTAAAACAGAGAGAGAGAGAGAAATCAACCACACCTCCACAGCGTTTTAATGCTGCAGTAAACCTCTAGCCTTTGGTTGGCCCCAGATCATAGGCATACACTTGCTCTGCATACTCAGGGAGGTCTTTGGACATGAACCAGGAACCTTTCCATGTAGACCTGCTCACAGAGTGTCCTGTTTTACCCCTGTGCCACCAACTGGTCTACCAACACAGATTTTCTAACTATAGATATTATTGTTTGAGGTAGGGGAAGGAGACTCTGTGATCATATAAAACAGCAAACTGCAATTTTCTTTTCCCAGCTTATTCAAAAGTTGACGGATGTTGCTGAAGAATGTCAGAACAATCAATTAAAGAAGCTCAAAGAAATCTGTGAGAAGTAAGCCTTCATTCTCATTCCCATTGACATGTGTATATAAATTTATTAAACACACATTGCCATTTAATTTGCTTCCCACCTCTTCTACCTCCATTTCAACTTTAGAGAGAAGAAGGAATTGAAGAAGAAAATGGATAAAAAGAGGCAGGAGAAGATAACAGAAGCAAAATCCAAAGACAAAAGCCAGATGGAAGAGTAAGTATGAAGTACCAGCTCTCCCCCACCTTGTATCTGGGAATTATGTTAGTCTGTTAGAAGAAGATCAGGTTATTAACCATACAAGGGCCTTTCTGTGAAGTTTCTTTTCTAATTAGCCTCCCTAAAGATCCCTTTTGTAAGGTTTTTAAACTGAACTCTAAAAGAGCTGTTCAATATAAGAGTAATGTGTACACAGGGCCTTTTACATAATGAGTTTATCAGGAGCTTCCTTCTGGGAAAGGCTACATTCTCACTTCCCACATCATCAGGCAACCTTCCTGGCATTTATGAAAACAGAGTGCATGCCCTGGGACAATCCTGACCTTTGTTCAGAGGGTAGTGGTTTGTACTAGCAGTCATAAGAATACTGAGAGTTCTGTAAACTTCCATGTAGAAATCTCAGATATCCACGGTAGTATGTTCCAGATGAGCTAATATAATTGTCTATTCACATCCCTTACTCTTAGGGAGAAGACAGAGATGATCCGATCATATATCCAGGAGGTAGTGCAGTACATCAAGAGGGTATGTATGTCGGTTCATCACGCTCTCTCCTTTGCAAACTATGCTTGACTGTTTGGTGAGCTCCTTGTGGGCATCTGGAAGGAAACATCATCCCTGTAGCCATCTCTCACCAGTCCCTAACAGAGCTATGTCACAGAGCTAGCACTTCCTGATCTATATTTCTACAACCTTAATTGCAAACCACTGTATAAGGGGGTCCACCTAAAGATATGAGGGGACTTCCCAAAGTTTATGGAAAAATGGAAATTATGTATGAGTTTATTTTGGTACAAAAATAGTTTAAATACTAGTTTTTTTTTTTTTTTTTTTTTTTTTTTTTTTTTTTTTTTTGTTGTTCTATAATATGTGTTTTCTGTGAACTTTTAGAAAATCCCTCCTACACAGTCAGGAATCACTTTCAAAATCAGAAGTTCTAAACCATGATATATAGGGGCATTTTCTTGAAGGAACCTTTAGTTGTCAAGTAGGCATCAATGATAGAGAAGATGGAAATCTCCAGAAGCAGTCCTTCTTATTTTTTTTAATTTGATGTTATGAAAATGTTCAAACATTTACAAAAATGTAAGAGTAGTCCCTTGATCACCATCCACATGCCTTGCACCCATCACCCAGCTTCAACACTGAACTATAGAATCTAATATGTATAAAAGCCACTCCCCAGAGAAACTCAGAATCAGAGAGAGAAGGAGAAGGAGAAAGCACCCCCTCCAATGGGCATGGTCATACTGCAATCCCTTCTCTTCCATTTCTGTATCCTGTCAGGAGTTGGGGCACATACATAGGCACCCAGGGTTTTTTCATGTCAGTGGGGCTGGGATTCAAACCATGTGGTGACTGTATTGGAAATAGCTCTCTTAACCATTAGACAATGAGGCCAGTCAAATAAGAGCAGTTCTGGGGTCAACACATGGTATGGTAGTTAAGGTGCTGGACTTCCACATGGCCTACCATGGTTTGAGTCCTGGACCCGGCAGCTTGAAAATCATGCCAGGGATGTGTGTGTGCATACCCAAAATCTCAGGAGGAGATTCGAGGAGAAGGGATTATGGTGTGGCCATCTCCACTGGGAGGGTGATTTCTTACTTTCCCTCTCACTGTTTCTCTCCAGGGAGTGCACACATTCTATGGAAAATAAATAAATAAGAGCAGTTCTTGACTAGGTTAACAAATATAGATATATGTATATGCCATAGATCTTAAAAGCTTTCAATTGTAAACCTGAACTTGAACATTTAGGTGAAAATGACTTTCCTTGTAACTTTCTCATAGTTAGAAGAAGCGCAAAGTAAACGGCAAGAAAAACTCATAGAGAAACACAAGGAGATACGCCAGCAGATCCTGGATGAAAAGCCCAAGGTAAATGAAACTGAATAACACTATACAGTAATTTCATTTTATTTTCATTCAATAAGAATAAAACCTTCCTAGTTCACGTAAGTACTGTGCACACAGTCTCAGCTCAGTTCTCGTATGTGAAACACATACAGCTTTCTCAATAACAGTAAAAATCTTTACAGCAATATTCAGTAAATATTAATCATCAACTAGGTGAACTTTTAAAAGTTGCACAGAATTTACATCCAGGTATTTGGCTTCAACTGGTTTGGGGAATAGCTTAAGTATTTTTTTTTTTTTTTGAGAGAGATTTTCACTGTAGGGCGCGTGCGCTCGCCAGACAGACAGAGAGAGACATAGAGACAGAAAGCGAGAAATCACCCCCCAGTGGGGATGGTCACGCCGCAATCCCTTCTCCTCCATTCTCCTCTTGGGATCTTGGGCACACACGCACACGCACCCGGCGTGAGTTTTAAGCCACCGGGTCCGGGACACGAACCGCGGTCGACTACTTGGGAGTCCAGCGACATAGCCATTACGCTAACTGCTGGTTCCCTAGCTTAAGTATTTTTAAAGTGCCCCTTGCCCCCAGCGAATTCTAATTGCAAGATCCACATTCAGGGACTGGCCATGTATCTTCATTTCTTCAGCTCTCAAGAACTGATGTCATTTTGTAATGGAAGGAGGCTGTGTTCACCAGATCATGAACTGCACCAAAATTACCCTGGTTTTTATCCAACAAAATATTTTTATAAACCAGAAAAAAAGCAAATAATTTCTCCCCATAGTAACAGTTCACTGGGCACCATTTACAATTTTTCTTTTGCTCATTGCTTGGTTAAAATCAATTATTCATGAATTAACTTTCCACACACTGTATCTTTATCAATCAAATGCTTTCGGGTTAACAAACAGCATCTCAGTTTTAGAACATTCCATCTATTTGGACTCCTCACCAAATATTTTTCTGTTTCTAAAAAATGTGCTTTTGAGTGTTTTCATCCCATCTGCAATTTAAAATATCTACTCCAAAATGTTCTGCTTTGTTAGTCCATGACATTCAAAAGTGTTGTATTTAATTGTGTATTCCATTCACCAATTTACTTCTTATAGATTTCTTGTAGCTAATTTTAAATATATTTTCATGGTTAGTTCTTCTGAGTTCATATTTGTTATAGTATACAAGGTATTTATTAAATATTTTTTGATTCCTAAACTGTTTAGGCTTGGTAATATAGATTCACAAGCAAGAATTAATCATTCTTTAGATATGTTGCTAATGTATGTTTTTCATACAAATATACAATTCAGAAATTCATAGCCCCTTTCTCAGACTGATTATGCATAAGTGAAGTGGAATAAATTTGAACATAATTTTGGAAATTGTTCTGCTTTCCATTCAATATTGATCTTTTTAAAAATGTTTAGATATTTGGAGCAAAAGATCTAAATTCTACTGAAATTTAAGAGATACTCAGTCACTCTTCACTCACTCTGCTCTAATCTCAAGTGGTCCTCAGACCACCAAGTTCTACTTTCTGGGGGATTTGTATTTTCTCTTCCTTGTCTAGCACCCTCCTTCCCCCTTAGTTATTCACACAGCTTAGTCTGAGGGTTGTTTACAGATCACCCTCTAGATCACCCTTCTCAGAGGGGCCACCCACAGTGTGTCATCTAAGATCCCATCTCAGCTACTCTTCATTTCACCCTGGCTCAGCCTGACATTCACTGTGTGTAAGGAATGAACTTCGTATACACCTAGAATGGTAATGGCTGGGCAGTATCCTCGGAAAGATTAAGAATGTTATCTCTCAAGTCACTTCTATGATCTGGGTCAGGTGAAATAAACAAGCCAAGTCCATGTTTTACTTTTCTTTCTATCACTTTCTACTTATAAGACAACTCTTTTATGAATGTATCTGTAAGTTTGTCTTTCTCTCCCTTCCCCCCACTAGAACACAAGCACCAGGGGAAAAAAAATGGAAATGTAAGAGACACCTAATAATAATCAGTCTCAAGTGCTATGTTCAGATACAAATTTTCCATCCATGCTGTCTGAATTAAAATCACTCAAGACTTCATGCACCGATAGAATTTGATTACATAAGATATTTCACTAGCCAGTGTTAGTATTTATAAAATATTCCTCAGCGAAAATGTTTTTTTATTTTCTTTTGTTTGATTTTGTGTTTTTTTGTTATTATTAGTTTAATCCTAATAAATATATATGATTAAACCAATTTGTGAAATAACTTCTTTTTTAAAAAAGCTTGTGGAAATACAGATAATGAAAAATAATTCATAGACTTCAAATACTTTTGGTACCAAAATGTACTTGTATTTTAATTCAGAAAAATGTGTCGTTTTATCATCAATGTAAATGGACTGGTAGGCAGTAAAAATCCAGCAAAAGTTTTTGAAGAAGAATGACTCAGAGAAGCAGGGTGAAAAATTGGAAAAAGGCAGGGTTGAGGTTAAAAGATGAGGACCAAAGACCATATTAGACCCTGTTGTTATATAGGTCAGACGTGGGATAAAGCCCTGGCTTGAAAGACAGCTGAAGGGGTGGATATGAGTGATAATTCAAAGGCAATGTCCACAGTTTAGAGTGACTCAATAGATGTCCTAGGTGAAAATGTTTTCTAAAAAAAATAATATATTGTTATTTTTCACACAAGAGCCTTATTTTTCTTTGTGCATTGTGTGTGTCAACTGTTTTATTCATAGATAAAATGTAATCACAGATGTGTTTAAATTATATGACTCTCAGAATAAGAAAGCCATCAAAGATTTTCATGTTACTGCTGAAGGTCATCATGATTAAAATCAGCCTTAGGATCCTTGAAACACCCTTAAACTTCTTCACTGGAAATAACCAAATGTTAAAAGAACTAATAGCATTTGGCCAATTTATGTCAGAGCGCATTTAGCTGCAATTGCATAGAAAACCACATTAAAAGTGACAAACATTGGGACCAGCAGTTTAGCATAATATCTATGTCACTGGACTCCCATGTAGTCGACCACAGTTCAAGTCCCGGACCTGGCGGCTTAAACTCACTCCAGGCGCGTGTGTGTGCGTGCCCAAGATCCCAAGAGGAGAATGGAGGAGAAGGGATTGCGGCATGGCCATCCCCCCTGAGGGTTGATTTCTCGCTTTCTGTCTCTCTGTCTGTCTCTTTCTTTCCGGCGAGTGCATGTGCCCAATAGCAAAAACCTCTCCAAAAAAAGAAAAAAAAAAAGTGGCAAACACTAATAAAACATGGTAAATCGCATGACTGGAAATTTAAAGGTAATACAGCTCTCGGAATGGCTTAATTTAGTGTCTTCACAACCTCATCAAGTACTCAACTTTTTCCAGAATTTCTACTGTTGTTTTCTTTCATCTCCAGGCTGGAAACTCACAGTCACAGAATGGTTGCATAGCACCAACCATTATAATCTTACATAAAACCATTCACAAGCAGAACAAGGAATGTCTTCATTTAGTACACCTTCTGGCATTGAGGAAAACCTTCCTTAACCTTTCCCACATTGGCTGCAATGACTTTCCTCATTGGCTACAATGGTGTCATATTCCCATTCCTAAACCAGCCATGGTTAGGAGAGTATAATTTTCATGACTGTATTAGAGTAATTAAGATTTACTCACAAGAGTTGAAGGATTTTAGCTTCTTCTCAAGGTCATGGTCAATGGGTACCTCACAAAATTGTTATTGTATTATTAAAGAAACTAAGGGGAAATGGCAATTGAGTGAGTAGTTAACAATGTATAGTGCTACCAGATTTATAGCAAGCTTTTTTGGAGATATTTTTGCTATAGGATGCATGTGCTCTCTGGAGAGACAGAGAGACATAGAAAGTGAGAAATCACCCCTGCGCCCAGTGCTGGGGAATAGCCACACCACAACCCCTTCTCATCCATTCTCCTCTTGGGATTTTTGGCCACACATTCAAATATACCTGGCATGAATTTCAAGCTGCTGAGTCCAGGACTCAAACCGCAGTCAACCTTGTGGGAATCTAGCTTCCTTAACCATATACCACCTACTGGCCCTTATAGAAATTTTCTTTTCTTTTTCTTTGTGGTCTTATGAATTTTTAGTAGTCTTTATTTCTTAGGTACCATGCTGAATTTCCCTTGCTTTTCATCCATGACATTGGTCCTATAATTACTTCATGTCTGGATTGGAAGGTTGCCCTTGAAGACTGTTGATTCCATGTCAAACTAAACCATTTATTGAGGGATGCTTTTCAGGGTTTAACAACGTTGTGCTTTGGGGCCAGCAGGAGGCAGGGAGGTAAGGCAGCTAGATCCATAGCTGATCACATGATTTGAGTCCTGGACCCAGTGGGTTGAAAAGCACACTGGACACTTGTGCATGCATGTCCAAAATCTTAAGAGGAGAATAGTTATGGTTATGACTGGTTATGGCCAGCCCCCAGGGGTCATTTTTCACTTTCCATCTCTCTCTAGTGAGTTCATGCACCTTATGATGCAATCAAATAAAATTTTTTTACAAGTTCTGCTTTGGAACAATGATAGCAATAATGAAATAAGAACTCCTAACTGTTAGCATTATAGGTCTAGTGGCAAATCAAGGTAAATGACAAAATGGCAGTGACAAGGAGTAGTAAAAAAATAGAGTAAAACAGTAAGATCAAATGTGAGGCACATGGAGAAAGACCTCAGTGCAGGACAGGGAGTGTAGGCAAATGAGTGATAAGGAAAGGCCAAGCCGGCACAGCAGTCATTATTGCATCTATAATACTGGGATATGGACCAGAAATACAATTGCACTGGCTTTGAAATAATACTTCCTCACGGGGGGCCAGCAGGTGGTATAGTGGTTAAGGTGCTAGACTCCCACATGGCCGACCATGGTTGGAGTCCTGGACCCAGAGGCTTGAAATTCATCAGGCACATGTGCATATGTGCCCAAAAACCTGAGAGGAGAATGGAGGAGAAGGGATTGAGGCATGGCTATTCCCCCTGGGTGGAAGGGATTTCTCACTTTCCC